GAGCCTACAGCCGAACAGCTTCTTTGGCCACTCCTCTCCACGTCCTGCCGAATCGTGGGTTTGTGTACAAACAGAGCAGTGACCCAGAGAAACACGGACCGGTCCAGGTTCTGGGCTGAGGCCACACATATATATGGAAATATATTTTATTATATATATTATATACATATATATAAATATATGTCAGTGAGGTCAGGTTGTTGAGGTCAGTAATGATCCAGTCCAGTTACAGTGTAACAACAGTGGACGGTCACTCAGAGTGGACAGGACGTCTGTCCGTCCACATCAGTGTCTTCAGTGTCTTCAGTGTCATGTGACCTGATCCCGTTCACGTCGGCTCATCTCATTAGGTGTGTGTGTGTGTGTGTGTGTGTGTGTGTGTGTGTGCGCAGAGCGACACTGACAGAGTATGGAATAGAACCCACAACACTCTGGTTGAAAGTGGTGCTAATGCTAATGCTAATGTTTGTAGCAAGAAGGTTGCTGGTTCGAAGCCCTGCTCAAACTGCAGGTCTGTCTGAGTGTAGTCACCGTCAGGTTTGTTACTGTGAAACAGAACAGGAAGTACAGTCGTCCACTGATGAGCGTCCAGGTGTCGGACAATCACTTCACTGGTGACGCCTGTTCCTGACAGACTGTTGGTAACATCACTAACATCACTAACATCACTAACTTCACACACATTCCACTGACCCCAGTCACACACAATGACATGCCTGTGTGTGTGTGTGTGTGTGTGTGTGTGACTCAGCAGTTCTATGAGGGATCAGGAAAGTGGAGCAGGACGGTGGTCTGTGTTTGAAGACCACCGAGCTCTGACCTCTGACCTCCACACACACACATGCAAATGTTGCTTCTGGAGGAGTGTGTGTGTGTGTGTGTGTGTGTGTGTGATCATGGTGGGCGTGGCCAACAGGTGGTGCTCTAATGAAGTTGTTTAACAAAGGTAACTTCCTGTCATGGTGACACAGCACTCCACTGCACCACTGCACCACTGTCTCTAACCCATCACCACCGTCAGCAGGGGGCAGCCTTGAGGGCCCGGGTGGTAACTGTGCAGCTGGTGGACTCGAACCAGCAACCCTCCAAGTCCACTTCCTGAACCACTGCCCCTCAGACGTGGACAACAACCAGAGACCGACTGTAGTCTGTGTCCACCACCAACCACCTCACTGTCACACCGGGCTGGGAACAGCACCGCAAAACCTGTATGGGTGTGTCTGTGTGCGTGTGTGTGTGTGTGTGTGTGTGTGTGTGTGTGTGTGTGTGTGTGTGTGTGTGTGTGTTCTGGACCAGTTTCAACAGGAACTGAAGTCAGAAACAGACTGTCTTTGTCAGACGAGTCCTGTTATGTTGAAGGTGTTGTTGGGTCAGAACCACAGCTGTGGGGAGGGGGGGGGCAGGGGGGAGT